CTTCAAATCTTGTCAACATCGGAATTTGTTTGAAAAAAATGATTTCAAGCCGACCAAATACTGAAATCAAATAAGATTTCCTGGGATTTTATCTTTCAGTCATTTCATTCTCAAAGATGGGTGGTTCATACTTGGGACCCGGGCCTGGATCTGAGTACGCTTGACCCAAAGTCCAGTTCATTTGATCAGTGTGAACACAAAGGAAGTTCAGAATGCACAGAGAGGGTTTATTAATGGTAAGAATAACAGGACTTCATTGTGTTATATGTGTGTAATATATGAATGTACATTTCAAAAACGTCAATAATACTGATTCTAGCACTAAGTAGAAACACTTAATAAACATTGGGGAAGATTAAATGAATCATTCGGACGTCTCTGTCCTCTATGAGTGTATTTTTAGACTCTTGTTTGTTTATCTCAGGGCCTTGACCTCAATATCACAGAGGCTTTTTGTTGTTGTAAAATGTAACCATTTCTTAAATTCTCCATTCACTTTTAAGGAATATTTGTCATTTCAATCCAATAATGTCTGTTTTTCTTCTGCATGAAATGTCACCAGATTTTTAAATCTACTTTCTTTAAGTCTGACAGATGTGTGAAAGTGGAAACAACCAAAGTAACAAAGTCATCATTCTGATGAATGGAGTTTCTCTTTTGACCATAAATAACAAACAACAAACTACGACAGTACTTTTTGCAAATACATTTTTTTATTTTAGTTCCGTATGAGATCATAAAGATGTGTTTGTGTTGTTCTCTCTGTGCAGTTATCAGTTACGATAAGCATGATTTTGGTTACTACAGCTTTGATCAAAGTCCTCTCCTTCATGACATATAATCTGCTCTATGAGACACCAGTGAGATTCACAGAAAGCTCGACAGTGGCTCTTTTAAAGCAAAATGTTAAATAGCATTATGAGATCTGGCTGTAGCTATGTGAGGGGGTGCAGAAAACAAATGATCACTGGGCCAGATATATTATCTTTAGGTAATCGCTCATTCATAACAGTCAAGCGTGTCAGTGTGATTTCTGTGGATAATGATTAACAAGCTGCTGGAGGATTTCACTCTTGAAACTGAACTTTCCAGGTGGTGTCCTCCTAACACATTATACTATGTCATAAACCAGTCTCAGCAATCTCCTAATTTAGATAGATAAATAGTGTAAACAAACAGTATGCTCAGCTCACAACCAGACACATAAACCTCTCTCAGACATTAACAGCTGGACCAGGTATTCCCATTACTGTTTCCTTTAAATTCTTCTGTGTTCAAATACATCATTTTTTGTGACAACGTTTGCACGATTTTTATATTGAAAATAACTTTATTAGGACAACCAAATCTTCAGTTCCAATTTGAAGATGCTTTATTGGCATCAATACAACCGTTATTGCCAAAGCTTCATCTTCCATTTAGTATCATCTCCGCAGATGTTTCCAGTTGTGATGGAGATGTGGATATTCAGATGTCAGATTGATTTCAATACTTTTTTATCCCTGATGAAAAGTTCCAAAGCACCTTCTGACTGATCCTTGTGATGATATGATTTAAATTTCAGGGCAAAGGTCAGGGCATCTCTCACTCTCAATAAATTGTACTGTGTATTAAAGTTCTTGAATAATCGTATTTCACTCACCAGGCTCTGGTTCACTTCTCTACAGGAATTAATAAAACTCTGACAGCTGATGAAATACCAACCAGCACCAAAGTCAAATAGACAGTGAGTATACAGATTTTGGTCAACACATTTGTCAGCACTCACCTAAAGATACCTTTAATGTGCGCTGTGATTATTTATAACCATGTGTAGGGACTTTCTGACCCACTATCTGTACTGAAAGGCCTCAAAACCACTGCTGACCTCATCCAGTCCAGTCTGGTTTCTGTGACCTTGGGATGGGATTGTGTTGGAACTGGGCTAAGAGTCAAACCCATTAAAAAAAAAATACATGCCCACACACGTCTCAGGGAGAGGCCGCTTAATCACTTCTAATATTGAGTTCATTTCATTAATGACATTTAACTCCTCATCCGTCCCACTCATCTCAAATAAAGTGGTTTCATTTATTTTGAGAATTTAACTTTTTTGATGTAGAGCTTGATCAAAATTGAAGTTGTCCAAAAGTTGTTAAAAAAATCAACTCAGAAGTCAACAATCATTTTACTTTGTATCCTTTTATTCGCCCTGTCTGTGCCCGTGGTAACTGCCACTTTTATTTTGAAAAATCTGTAAACAGAAGGAGAACAACCTGACAAACTTTATGATGTGAGAACGATGATCTCTCAGTCCCACTCTTTCCATACACTGTGTTCATGATTATTATACAATACAGTACAACACCTTACAATACATTATTGTACAGTACAGCACAGTACCGTACGATACAATACACTTCATTGTTCTTATAGAGACATTGTTTCCTGGACTCTAAAGCTTCAAACATTCAGCTGCCTCCCAAGTAGATTTGATATCTAAGAACAATTACATCCTTGCAGGAACATGATTTAACAACATGCACAACCCATACACACACATTTCACACAATACACAACAAAGATCAATGAAAGAGATAACATCATAAGGCTTATGAACAACTCCTGCAGCCTTCAGAAATAATTTCACATGATACCAAAACCAACCAAGAAATTTAAGACAAACAACGAATATTCTTTATATCACATCGTTTCATAAAAGCTTGCCAATTCACTGAGAGGGTTTTCCATAGTTGAATAGCTTGTATAGTAGTTTTAAGAATGTATTCATAACCCTGAACCTCCACAGGGTATCTATCTTTGAACAGTCATAAGTCCCTTTCATATCTCTATTGGCTCAGTTGGTCTTTACAGTGGGAAAAATAGGATACAGTCTCGCATTATATCTGCACTTATCTTTGGTTGGCCAACCAATATTTAACAACACCAGTGTACTTGGAAACCAAACAAATTTTTATTCAGTCTCTGTATAGTTGTTTGGTCCATTTTAATGTTGTCTGAGCAAAACTTGGCCAAAAAGATCAGTGAGAAACTGAAGCTCACAGATCAGCTCAGACACCTTCACATGTTAAAAGACTACTGACACACTAATGCTCAGACAAAAACAAAGAAGGGGTCAAAACTATTCTCTTTTTGCATCAGTGATTCATCTCTCTCTTTAACAACATTATCTCCTCGCCCACACTACAATATCCCTTGTATTTTGTAGAGCAGAGAGGGGCCCTCCTCCACTGCCAAGGGGGTTCTCAACTTCGGCAGCAAACAGCACCAGCGGGGTGCTGTGGCCTGTTTGTAATGTCATTGATTCCACCTCTTAGCACCCCCTTTGCTGGGCCCCCGCTGCTGTCTGGAGTTTTAAAAACCTAGTCGTCTGTCTGATTTATTTCTGTTTACCTCGCAGTTTTTCGTAACATTAAAAGTGTAAAAAACTAAATAAAAAATGTTTTCTCATTGACAACTCAACCCTCAACAACTCAACCTGACAAGTCTCCTCCCGTTGTTAGCTCCACTAATGTAAACACTACTAACCAAGCAAATAAAGATGTTAGAGAGGAGCACCCAGCTGGCTGCAGGAAAGCAACAGTGCTGATGAAAACTTAATTGGTAAATTGTTTCATCATTATTTGAGATAACGCTTAGATGCTGGTCTTTTGTTTGTGGGTGTGTTGTAGACCGCCGTGTCTACTGGTTATCGTACTGTATGAACGGCAGTGTTTACAAAGTTTGTTGTCGTGCGTGGATTGATAATGTGTGGTTTCATTGTATTGTCTGTTTGGCTGTGTGGCTGGATGAGCATCCAACTTCACTGAATGTTAAACTGTAGTTGCCTTCTATCTTTGGTTTCCCGTCCAGCTAATGAAGTCTGCTTTACTTGTTTAATCGGTGGAATATGCGCACAGACATATCAGCACTTGTTCTGCTTAAACATCAGCAGGTCTAATGACTGTTTAAAAAGCAAGTCTGTAAAATTGAGAGTTTGCTGCCTTTTATAAATGACATCATCAAAAACGTTTGAACAGCTTAATTTAATGATTTTTTTTTTCACTCCACCTGGCAGCCAAATTGTTTTTTGTTTTTTTAACCGATCTACAAATGATTATTGACGCAAACACGACCAACAGCGTATATAGCTATCACTTAACCTATATTTCGTGTATAAACAGAGACTTTTAAGAAACAATATCAACATCTGTCATCTAACTAAATCAACCATATTAAACCATATCGTGTTCATCGTCTGGTCCACTCCGTCACACATGCGCAGGAAATGATGAAATCTGCATACGTCAGTGAAAAGGTCTCACACATGCTCACCAACTGTGTTATTCCCTATCATTTATAACTCTACAGATGTGTGTGATTTAAACAATTGGTTGCATGACTTTGAGTCTCAAAAATCTCCATCACCCATGATTTGCTCATAATTCCTTGCACATACAGAATTTTAATAACACAAAATCGTGAAGTCATTTCGTGTCATCACACCTCTTGTGTGTCCTCTTGTGGTTGTTTGACTAATAAACCAGGCAAGCTAAATAGTTGTGCAGTTTTGCATTCATTCTGAGGGGCTATGGCACTGCCGATAAGCATGCCGCTGCTCTCCACCTTAACAGAGTGCAGGTTTCAGCTGCCCCATGAGGCAATGTTGCGCAATCGGCGCATGAGACATTTCCTCCTCGTCAGCACAACTGAGGCGGGTTGAGCCGCGAGCTTCGCTGGAAAAACCCACCACCGCTTCCCAATTCAACATCAACCCATCAAGGAGTGAGCGTAAGTCACTGACACGCGCATATCTGCGTCTGAAAACTCTTTCACAAGTTTTTTTTTTTTTTTGGGAAGTGTGTAGTAGGCCTCCTCGCTGTCAGGGGAATCCACCCCATGAAGGTGCATCTGACATCACCACGATCTTTGTCCCCATGCGATTGTTCAGGTCCACTCCCCCATTTGTCCCGCTCCTCTTATTGGACGCATCCTAATGACCTGTGCGCTACCTGGCGACCATCTCCTCAATTTAAAGAGCTTCCACTCATGGGAAGCTCTGCCAGAGGTGTTCAGTGCACACCCTTACTTGTAAATAAGACGTTAAGCTAAAGTAGATGTTGCATTGTGGAATTATATTAACATAAGTTTAAATCAGTCAAAGAACACCATGGAGACAGGTATGAGTATTCTTTGGAGCAGAGAGCTGTTTTTTTTTGTTTTTTTTTGTGGGGTTTCTTAGGCTGAAGCTGGTGCATTGTGGAATTTGTTAGAGCTGCCACATGTTTTGTGCAAACTGTTCACTCAGCCTGTGGAGGTAATCCTGCTGTGAAAGCTGTGCTGGAACGTGTTAGAGTTTTGACTGAGCTGTCAGCTGTCAAATGAATCCCTGTAGCTTTGTCTGGCGGCATGTTACCATGCAGGTATCCCAGTGCTGTGTGTGTAACAGGTAATAAGTGAACTGTGAGGTTATTAACTCTACTTCTCTTTATCTGGTTGATAGGAGGTTAGTGTCTGATGTGCTGTACTGCTAATAGCAAAGCCTGTTTTATGGAATATATGTGCCTGTTTTATAACATAGAGTTAAATTCATGGAGGAAAAAAAACGTTTCTTTTGATGAAATGTTTCTGAAGTTCTCATTGTTGCTGTTTTTAAAATGAATGTCAAACCAGCCACATGTTGCCATCATTGCATCATGTCCTGAAGCTTATTGGACTGTTTGGTGGGGCACTTTCAGACCATTAGTTTTTGTTTTATAAAGTTATATAATGAACTATTAGGGGACATTTGTCATGAAGGTACCACACTGTTTTTGTAGTTTATTTATGTTTTTTACTGTTTAACCACATTATGCACAAAAAAAAAATCCCCTTTGGCAAAGCAAGTAAAAACCTGTTTGAGCCACAGAAAAAAAGAAAAACAGGCTCTATTGACAAAAGTTTGCAAAATATCAGAAATTGTGAGCACTGTTGTGGTCTATGTAAACAACATAGTAGCTGTGAATGTGCCACAGATTGTCCTAAGAGTACTGTTATCACATCTGACTAATGGTTAATCTGTGTGCCAACACTTGTTTTTCTCTGTGGTTTGATGTTTGAAACATTTTAGTTCAGTAAAATATTAACATACATTTTGTAAAATGTCACTTTTAAGTGGAAAGAATGTAGCACAAGTTGACTTTTTTTCTCTTTATTTTGAAGGAACATTTCTCAGGGATGCACATTTAATTTTTTTTAATGTGACAAAAAAAAATGAATGATGTATATAAAGTATCCTCCTGAACTACTGGTTAGATGAGGCACTGGCAGGGGGTCCTTGAACTTTGCTGCATCTTCCAGATAAAGATATGATAAGCAAATCCTTACCTGCTTCCAGTTCTGTTTGTACATTAGTGAACTGAGCATTTCCAAACATTCAACACTATCATTTGAATGCATCAATAATGTTTTGTTCATTTAAGACAGTTAATATCAGTATTTCTTCTTGGTAAAGAACCCCCTTTTATAATAAATATTGTAATAATAGTGATATTGATGTCATTTCCGAAGCTCGTGACAACATGACAGAGTTTTGGAAGGAGCACTCAAAGGGCGCCACAGTGGAGGAGATGATGCTCGACTCTCGTGCCAAGGAGCTGACCCAGCACGAGCTGCCTGAGATCCTATCCATGCTGCCCTGCCTGGAAGGATACAGAGTGCTGGAGCTGGGAGCTGGCATTGGGTGAGCATACAGCTGCATTTAGACTGAATGTATGAATGTAGAATTACATCTGTTTCAGAACTTTCTGTTAAATTCAGGAGCTTGTAGCATACACATTTTCTAATTCAGTTGGTCAAATAATATGAAAAATACTATTGAACAGAACTCAACTGTTGAATTATACCCCCAACTTGTCAACAGTCGCTACACCAGCCACCTGCTGACCAGGGCCGCTCATGTGACAGCTGTGGACTTCATGGACAGCTTCGTGGAGAGGAACAGGCAGGAGAATGGTCACCATAGCAACGCTAAATTTATCCAAGCTGACGTCACAAAGATGGACCTCCCCAAAAACAGGTGAGTGGTAAGATTACTAATGCTTGGGCAGAAAATCTCAGCAACTTTAAAAGCTCAATCGGATAAAGCTGTTTGACTTTCATGAAGAATTGTATTATTTTGTGATCACTTCAGAATCACCAAAATGAGTTTCTTATCGCAAAAAAATTGTCTGTTGTTGCAAGAAAAGAAACATTCAAATTTTTCCCTTAAAAATTAGACATACTGCATATTATATTTCAATATATCATGTAATGTTCCTTTCAGCATTGACTTCATCTTTTCCAACTGGCTGTTAATGTACCTGAGTGATGAGGAGCTAGAGTCCTTCATAGAGAAGACCCTGGGCTGGCTGCGGCCTGGTGGCTTTCTTTTCTTCAGAGAGTCTTGCAACCACCGGTCAGGTACAGAGCAAACAATGGAACCTGAACATCTTTATTTCAGTATAATTACTATTGAAGCTTTGATGCAAACGCAATCTGACAGCTGGGACTAATTGAAAGAATAGGATTTGCAGTAAAAATGTAATTCCCTGTATTCAAAATTTAAATGGATGGACAGACCAATGGCTGGATGCATGGCTGGAGGATGTTGGATGGAACAATAGATAGATGTATGGTAGATGGAGCATAAAATAGGTATATTTTTCGGCTACAATTCAGTTTGTCTCTTAAACATGAATCGTGTAATTGAATTGGTAATGTTCAGCAACAGTAGTCAGTATCATTGTTGTTACCAAAATGATACGGTTAAGAATTCATATTAACTTTTACTTTTCTGAAAAGGTGACTCAAAAGAGACTTTAACCCCACCTGCTACCGCACTGACGCCCAATACAGCCATCTGGTATCATCAGTGCAAGTGGAGCAGACAGAGGGGAACCAAAGGTTTGGATATGATATTGTGTTGAAAAAGAAAGTCAAAGCCTACATTGAGGTATGTTAATTAAAATCTCCTAATACGATAAGTAAAACTGTTTGACAACGTTAAGTTTACCCTGTCCATTCACCGCTCCACTCCCTCCTCTCCGTGATGTCCTCATCCGTCCTCCTCCAGATGAAAAACAACCCAAATCAGATCTGCTGGCTACTAGAGAAAGTTCCCCGCTCGTCCGTCACCCAAAACGGATTCACTACTTTCCAGCAGTTTCTAGACAACCAACAGTATACCAACCGTGGTATCCTGCGCTACGAGAAGATGTTTGGAGCTGGTTATGTCAGCACAGGTGGACCCAGTACCACCAAGGTAGGTTTGAATATGGAAAACACCAAAAGAAATCCTGGAAAGAATCAGTGTGTGCATCTTAGGATAGAATAGAATGGAAGGGCAATTTTTCAAAGTGAAAAGCTCAGCCAACAAACAGGATACTTTTAACAACAACAGGGAATTTCTGTAGTAAAGTCTACCACCTTGGTATTGACAGATTTATGTCATCTATTGAATACATTGCTTCTTTATTTTCTACAAGCTGATAAAACAGAGAAAAAAAATCCAACAAACCTTGGCAGTTTTTTGCTCCAGTCCCAATATGAGAGTGACGTTTGTTGTTTGAAGTGACCGTTTCGTGGGTTGCCAGGATTTTTTTGTCACACATTTCAGCCATCCAAAAAATGTATTGTAATTACTTTGGTAATCCTTGCTTTTAACGTTCTTAAGATTCTCTCCAATGATTTAATGAATGACATTCTCATCTGCATAATCTGCATTGCACGTTTATTTAAAATAAGCAGAAGTGTTCTTAACATTAATCCTGCTCAACATCAGCATGTTAACGTTATTATTATTACTACTATTATTATTTTCAAATGTAATATTTATGAACAGAACATAGAACAGAACTGACCTTGATCCAAGCAGCTTTATCTTCACACACTCTTTCACCCGTCTTCCTTCATCCGTCATTGTTTGAATGCTGACCTCTTCGGTTGTCGTTATTATAAACACAGGGAATCTGACTATCATTATCATTTAATTTGTGGAATCCAAAAGGGATTCCCTAATAAAAGTAAAAAATAAAATAAAAATGTATGTAAAATGTGACAAAGAATCATGATAAGGTGATTACAGCTACATCCTTAAGCTACCGCTAGTATGGAAAAACAGCAGTGACATCGAGTGGTGAAATCTATAACTAAACCGTAAGGTCCATGTATGGAGGCTATAATCCTCCAACTGGATGGCCTGGGTTGGAATCCGACTTGTGGTTCCTTTCTCGCATGTCATTCCTCACTCCCTCTGTCCCTGATTTCCAACTCTGTCCACTGTCATGTCCCTACAATAAAGGCACAAAAAGCCCCAAAATTCATTGTTAAAAAAAACATTAGGTAAGCTAATTTAACAGTAACCTACTCGGAATGGAATTTTCTCCACTCATGGAAAAAACAGAGCTATATAGGGTTATCTTTGGAGGCATTGATTGGACTAAACAAATAGCTTTTTGTGCTAACAGGAGTTTGTGGACATGCTGAACCTGAAGCCCGGACAGAAGGTCCTTGATGTTGGCTGTGGTATTGGTGGAGGAGACTTCTACATGGCAAAAGTAAGAGACGAGGAATCAGGCAGAGTTTCCAATAATGATGATGCTGAAAATCTATCCTTCGAAAAGGACTTTAATAACGGCAATGATTATGATTCTTTCAGACCTTTGGCGTGGAAGTGCTTGGCCTGGACCTTTCAGACAACATGGTGGAAATTGCCATGGAGCGAGCAATTGCAGAAAAGCTGCCTTCAGTACGTCCAAATGCTTCCCTGTCCTCTTTGTTTAAACACCACTTATAGAAGTGTGATTAACAGTCTGTTTGGTATAAATGAATCAATAATGCTGTGTGATATTCCTCAGGTCCAGTTTGAGGTGGCTGACGCCACTAAGAGGGTGTTTGCAGAAGGTTCTTTTGATGTGATCTACAGTAGAGACACAATCCTGCACATAGATGACAAACTGGCACTCTTCAAACGCTTCCATGTGAGCAGTTTCTCATACTTAAATCATTTGTGTCATCACATTGAATTTTAAAGGTTTACTAACATATTCTTTCATTCTGCTTGTTCACTGTGTGCAGTCATGGTTAAAGCCAGGCGGAAAGTTGCTTATCAGCGACTACTGCTGCGGTGAAAAGCCCTGGACACCTGTGTTTGAGGCCTACGTCAAACAGAGAGGCTACATCCTCTATACTCCCGCACAGTATGGCAAGGTAAATATACAATAGAGTTCAGTTATGTAATAGTCTGTGGAAGACTACCCTACCCTATGGGGAGTTCTGCTCTTTGGTCCTCTTAACCAATATGTAACAAGAGGGTGAGCAGCATACTGTACAAACTGTTACTGAGTTTCTGCTCCACTGGAGCATAGGTTAAACAGTAAACACCAAATATATGAACTGACTGATATCCATTCATTTAAGTTTTGGTTATCCCAAAATGTTTTTAATTATGTGGCAATAAATCCACTGAGCCACAGTGTTTCCCAATTGAAGAAATGCAAGGATTGGCATTTATGGTGGTTATTACATAGTGTCCCTATCACATAGTTTCCCCTCCAGAGAGAACTGACAAGTTAATTAATTTTACGTTTTTCAAAAACTGCCCCTCTTCTGACTGTCAAGGCAATGGTGTGTTAGCTAGATGCTCTTCAGGCTGTTAAATTGTCCCCATGCTAAAAAAAAAAAAAAAAAGTGTCATTAACAGAAGATTTTAATTCATAAGAGATAATGAATGAAATATGTTGGGTCAGACTAAAGAGTTGGCCCTACACACAATTACACTTACTGACATAATTGTACTGGTAACACAATAGTCTTACTGCTAGCTTTGTTGTTCCATTATTCACCATGCACCTTATTAACTTATCATTTAGTATTTAGCCTACATGCACATAGCTCTGTGTATATATATATATATATATATATATATATATATATATTTTATTTCTCGTTTACTGCACATAGTTCTGTTTACATCTGTTAGAATTACATGTGGATAAGATACAAAAATGGATACAGATATATATATATGTTGGAAAGGATTACCCAAGTATTCTGTAAACATGAAATTTAAAATAGCAACTTGTGCAATAAATAGAAGAAAAAAAGTCCTCTCCTATCCAGAAAGCTCAAATGGTGTAATTGTGTGCTCTGTGGATGTGTTAATACAAACCATCAACAGGTGGTGCTCTTTCTACTACCTCCTTTTTCTTTGTCTTTTCCTGTAGTTCATTGAAGAAGCCGGTTTCAGCAATGTTAGGGCAGAAGACCGAACAGCCCAGTTCATCCAGGTGATAAAGACAGAGCTGCAGAGATCAGAGGCCATTAAGGAGGAATTCATTGAGGTAGGAACACACACTCACATGTTTACAAAAAGAAAATGTGTCAAATTCACAAGGTCAACTTAACTTACACTCTGCATCCATAATGAGCATCCTACTCTCATTACTACATGTATATGGATGCTTATTTTACCTTCATCAAACCACTGCAGGAATTCTCTGAAGAGGACTATCTTGCAATAGTAAACGGATGGAGTGAAAAACTGGGACGTTCCAACAGTGGAGACCAACGATGGGGACTCTTTTATGCAACAAGGGAATGAGTGATTGCACAAAGAATGTAGATGATGATGAAAATAAGTAATGCCTTTTCCTTTTTACTTTGTTGTCTGTGCTTTGGACTGAAGCACTTTATTTCAGTATGAGTTCATAAGCATGTTCATGTGCTGAAGAAGCATTGGAAAAAACACAAGAATTGCAGTATTATTATAGTTATATGATGAAAGAAAGGGCAAAATGTAACACACATACACATATTATGAGCTCAACATTGTTTAATGTATCATTTTATTGTATTTAATTAAATTCATAACCCGCTGTTTAAACATGAAACTGAACATTTTGTCATATCTTGTTTAAATGGAGCAACACTGAATAAAACAATATTGCTTTATTGATTTCTAAAAGGCATTTTGTAAGACCATTAAAGACCTATTTTTGATCTTTTGAGCATTTGTTAAGTATGCTGCAAATTTAGCACAAGTTTTATCATCAGGCAGGAAAAGAAAAAGAAACAAAAGATTAAAAAAATGGACCAATTATCTTTTTTAGTTAGATTTCAGAAACAATCCTTGAACTATTACCAGAGTCAAAAATGTCAAGATCAGTCACAAGAGCAAACTTGTTCATTAAGTTGCTACTGATTAGTTTTCAGCAATAGTTAATGCATTTAACTGCAGCACTGTGTGAAAGAGGCCCCTCACAAACTGTAATAGTCTTCATCACCTCAGGTTATTCAGGTTGTGCAACATGTCGCTCAGAAGCAACGTTTCAAACCTGTGTAATCCACTATGTGACCCGAATGAACCCGATGTTTTTCTTTCAAAATAAAAACTTCGATCTAATTCCGTACATTCAGCATCTCGTTTTTCTTGACCTTCACTATTGGTGACTAATGTTGGCAACCCAAAGAAGAACACTGATTTAGTTCATTGATGTTTATGCTTAATGCTACTTTTACAGTTTAAAAATGAACTATTAACCAGTTTTTCCCATTTGGGGGCTGAGATGGATGAGTATTTAAAAAAGAAAAGTGCTGCTAACTAGTCGTGAAACTACTACAAACAGAAAAATAATCCTTTAATCTAAAACCAAAGGTTGTCATATTTCATAACCCAATATAAACTAGCTAAGATGTTTGTATTTATGATCACATATTGGAGACTGAATGTAACTTTGCAGCAAGAACACGCTTCATCTTAATGAAGTGTAAGAGTCTTCTATTCATAGTAACAGGCCCAAAGCTGGGTTAACCGTCTGAAACATAAAGAACATACGAGACCTATGTTTCAGATTTGACAGCAACTGGTGTTATTTGGTGATTCATTTCTACTGTTTCATCTATCAAAGATATTCTATTTTAGTGTGTATTTTATTTTATTTTATGGGCCTAGTAAAACTTTTTAAAATAAAATAAAATGTGTAATATGAATTAAAATCAAATAATTAAAAGGCCTATCATTCTATAGCCTACATATGGCTTTCTTAATATTTTGATGAAAATGTTCTATTTTAGGAACATGCAATGTCAAATAGAACAAATAAGGTTTAAAGATAAATTATAACCTCTATATACACATAGGCTTAATAACATTTAGATTTTAGGGTATATAAACGTCATTGAGCAATGTAGCATTATAAAGCTTGCAGACAATTGTTGAATACAAATGTAAACAAGGCATCTGATACTGCCACCTAACATGATACTAATTTAAAAATAAATGCTTTTGAGAAAATAGAGGTTCAAAATGGAAACAACTTTCGCACGTCCACTTCACAAGGCAGGTGCGTAGGAGAGCCATGTGTCCCGCACAAGCCTGCGGGAGTTTATCTTTGACAAAATAGAAGTGAAAAACCGCCTCTTACACCAACAGAACATGTAACAGAGCCAGACACGGTTTATTTCTCTTTAAACAACTTCTGACATCTTCCTCTTTTGGTCTCTCAGTTGACTTCCTCCTACAGTGTGTGACGTTACGCCCATCATTTGTTTTCTGTTTAACGAGCTTGCGTGCAGAAAACATACGCAACACGAGAGGCAAAACACTGTAAGGCAAAACATGGCGAGGTTAAGCGAGCATGGGATTCGTTTGAGTTCGGTACGTATTTGATATTTTTTTACATCACGTATTCTGAATTGCAACATCTTTTTTAACTACAGGGGAAAGTAATGGAAAGTGAAACAAACTATCTGACCTTTGTTTTGTTGTTTATTCAGATGAGTCCTTCCTTCTTAAACAGCAACTCGACGAGTCATACCTGGCCGTTCAGCGCGGTGGCAGAGTTAATAGGTGGGTGACGTTATGAAAAACTACAATGAGCGGTCCTGCATTATCTACTCGTCCAGCCGCCGTGCGCTCCCCTTAAAGTGACGCTGCACCTGATACTGGTTTTATTACATGCAGGCTTATCTCTGTCACTCTGAAAAGTGGATTGTACTCAAAAAATATGTGATGTTGAAAGAAAAAAAAAAAAAAAAAGGACCGAATGTACTTCTTCTTTCAACACCCCCCATCGACTTTAACTCTGCTACGTCATAATGCCTGTCATATTAATTGTTGAGTACTGAAAAGTAGCAGGTTAGTGTTTACTGCTGTAAAACACTGGGCAAGTTTCCTCACAGACTCCAATAAATCATTTGAGTCGCTGAAAGGATTCGTACCTCCACCTGAAAGCGTCGGTTTGTGGGTTGTGAACATTACCTTCCTACACTCTGTGCTCTGTGATTGGTCAGGACGTGCTGAGTGTCTGTTGGCTGATGCCTTTGATCAGTCACAGCATTGGGAGTGTACTATACAGTTGTGCTGAATAAAAGCAGACGCACTCGCTTTAGGGCAAGAAACATTTAGCAGCCTGTTGGAATACAAACATGTCTCTAACAGGAGTGCCTTTGTATCTCAAAATAGTTATACAGGAAGCCTGACTATCATAGCAAATTCTAACCCTGGATATGGGTTTTGTGTGGGTGTCGGTTAAATATGAAAGGGCCATATCAGCAACGTGTTCAGCCATTCCAAATAGGTAGATTAAAAAACAGATTTTTTTTTTTTTTTTTAGATTAAAAATATATATATATATTTTATCATAGACAACACACTGAGAACGGGAAAAGGTTACTTTATACACAATAAATCTTTTTTATTTATTATAGTTTTTAGTTTTTCTTGCTTTGTTTCTAAATCTTTCAGATATCTTTTATGTGTGCAAACACAACAGTATCACTTCCTTTGTTTTGTCACCATGACCTCATATAGGCTACGTTATATTTGTGACGCTGACGGTCATCCTATTACATGCTTACAGATACATTTACCTAACTTCTTTGACTTTCCCTGCAGTATTTAGCATTATATATAATTAAGGTTTTACAACACTGTAACAGCAGGTGTTGAGAGATTGTCATGGTTTATAAGGACACTTCAACTGCAAGTTCAAAACCAGAAACATGATCGGACATATAAACAATCAAACAGCAAAGGTTTTACTTTAAGATTGTCTGAGGAAAAAAATATTTATTTGAAGTTTTTTGTATTTATTAGATGCAGATTTTCTCTTGAGTGCTTAAATGTACTTTAGATCTTACTAAGTTTTTGTTATACCATTTGGAGTAAATAACGTCTCTTCCTTCCACACATCACAATATTTGAATGCTCTCTTTCCCTGTTGTAATCCTCTACTCTCTCAACTGCTGCTGTAGACAATGCATCAGATCCTGGTGTGACAGCTAAACAGATCTGGATAGATGTAACTGGAGAATCTACTCACCTCTGTCTAACTTTCACTGACAATGGCAGTGGCATGACCCCCAACAAGCTGCACAAGATGCTCAGGTAACATATACACATGTACACACGAATACGCATGAAGCCTGTATGTGCATGAAAAGCAGCAAAAAATGATAATCTTCTGTCATCTGAAACATTTTCATGCATGTAGTCATACAAATTGATAGCTCTTCATTTCCTTTCCTTTGAAATAAACAAAGATCTTTTAGATAGAATTTAGATTGGGTCAGTCATTGTCTTAGAACACACACAGAGACAGATATTCATTTAAAGAAACATGCATCGACACAATTAAAAGATGTTGTTTGAAGTAAATAAATATATGAAGAAAAGATTCAAAAATTGTAAAAAATAAAAATAAAAATCACATTTTGTCTGACATTTGAGTGTCTTAAAGCCACAATATGTAACTTCTCCTCCTTCAAATAGTACTTTCATTAGTACAATAAGTTTAAACATGTCTTCAGCATGGTCCGATATATAATACTGTAGTATTTAACTTTGGCAGGGAGCTGGGGAGAAGTGTGCACCACTTTACGGCACTAGTTCACACCGTTCTTCAGTTCTTAAAAGAAGCTAGTTGGCTGTTTCTGGACGGTTCAATATAATGGCTGAGGCTAAGAGCCTAAGCTGTATCGTTATGGGTAATGTGATGGTTTAGCAGCTTTACCAGGTGCAGAAAGTCTTACAACCCAAGTTATGTCTCATGTTTGAATACAAATAGATAAATCCATCTTACAGCAAAAAGTATCTTTACTTGTCAATCTTACAGTTAGCTTTATACCTTTGAAACCTTACAAACCTATCTCAACAAGCTTTACCCTCTCCAGAGTTGCTAATTAGCCACAGCCCATAGATATCATGGCAATAGCTGAATACACAAACTCCACATGCAAACAGTTTGCAAACAAGGGTTGAAGCAGAGTCACAAGATCCGGAAATATTACTGTGCCAGTCGCCTTGTCAGTCGTCATGGTTGTTAAGCTTCTCACAACGTCTTTGCCGGCTTTGCACCCTCTGCTTGTAAATGAATGCACGTTCTATAGGAAGGACCAACCAAATTCCTACGTATTGTTACTTTCATTGATTTCTCAAATGATCACAGCCTATTCTACAATGAAAACAAAAATAATTGTTATCAATGAAATACAAACTAAATTTTCTCCCTCACTCTCTCTCCCCTTTGTTTATGTCTGTCCAGCTTTGGTTTTACAGAAAAAGGTTCAGGTAAGGCCAGTCAACAGGCCATCGGCGTGTATGGGAACGGTTTCAAGTCTGGCTCCATGCGTCTGGGACGCGACGCGCTTATCTTCACCAAGAATGGCGGCTGCCAGACTGTGGGAATGTTGTCTCAGACGTACCTGGAAAACATCAAGGCTCAGGCTGTCATCGTCCCCATTGTACCATTCAACCAGCAAACCAATATCCTTGATTAAACCCCAGGAAATAATGACCGTCAGAACCAAGATCAACTTTAGGTCACACATTGATTTACTTAAATGCAAATAGTCAACCTGAGTTAAAGTCTGCAAATGGTAATAAACGTTCAGAAAACAGCCTATACACAGTGACTTGGAATGAAAATCTTTGTCACTTTGAATCCTCTTTTTTTTTTGTCCAAACCTTAACCTGTGACACAGTCTCTGGTGGTGACCGAGGACTCAGAAGCCAGCTTAGCTGCCATCCTCCAAAACTCCATCATCAGCTCCCAGGAGCAGATGCATGCTCACTTTGACTCCATTCCCTCCAAAAAAGGCACCAAGATTTTAATCTGGAACATTCGCAGGTCAGAACAAAATGTTTAATCATGCAGAATTCTGATCAAAGGTTTTACCACTCCTGTATTATTACATCATATGAATTTGACCAGCAGATAGTTAGCTTAGTTTAGCAAAATGAGCAAAATAGCTAGCCTGGCTCTGTCCCAATATTTAAAAGAAATGTGCACTCATTGCAAAAGCTAATTTGTCAACTTTTTTTTTATTTTTTTACACCTCTGTTTTGTTAGGCAAACAACCAAGGTGTAAAGTGATAATAAGCTAGCTGTAAACGTGCTAGTTGGCAGATTTTGTTAGCTAGCTGTTGTTTCAAGTCTTTAAAGTAACTTAACTCTCCCCTGGCTGAAGCTTCATTCTTACAATATCATGAGAGTTTTATTGATTCTCCTAATACTTTGCCGCTCTTTTAAATAAGAACTTTTATTTCATGTTGAGATTTCCTGTAAGCTGAACTAGCACAAAGAAATAATGTTTGTACTGTAAGTGTAATGTACATGTACACAGTGTATGAGCCTGGTGTGTATGCAAACACAGACTCAAACACAGACAGGCAAATATACATTAAGCAGCAACAGAGACATATGATATTTGTTTAAACATGCCTTTAGGCAAATCAATGCAAAACTATACATGTTCAAAATTGAGTACTTGTATCATCTTTATATGAAGTGCTAAAAAGTAATTCAAACCCCTTTATCTCAATGTTTTTTGTTAAGGCCTGTAAAGTTTCTGTTCCTGGTAAGAGAAAGGTGAAGACTTTTTTTTGACTTCCTCTTTATGCTGGAGTCAAAAATGGTCTCTTTTAAGAGCTTTATCACACAACCCATCTGCTGCAATAACCACAGGAAATCAGTCCACGTGTAGAGTTTAAAAAAAAAAATGTTCATCTTTTTTTTCAGTTAGTGTGGTAGTATAACAAGCATTAGTCCACTTGTTTGACATCTGCTGCCTTTAATGTTGTCCTGAAGGGCCAAAGATGGAAACCCAGAAATCGACTTTGAGACTGATGAGAATGACTTCCGTTTGCCTGAGATTCAGATCGAGGAGCTGAAAAAGGGTCTGAGGAGCAGTGGGTCCCTGAGAGCCGAACAGAACATCCCAGATATGCACTACAGTCTAAGAGTGAGTGGGATCACTAAAGATACAGAAAACAATAGGATATGATAGGATACACTTCATTGTACCCATGTTGAAATTTGTCTTGGACTCCACTGCTGCACACATTGAGTTGCTTCTGATAAACATACCTTTTGGCTCATGTTTGACAGATTATTAGATTCATTTTTACAGTTGTAAATTAAATGAATTTGCCTCTGTTTGCACAGTATATTAAGTCAGCAAGGTTTTCATTTTATCTCTCTGTTTTTGTCTCAGGCCTACCTCACTATCTTGTACCTGAAGCCGAGGACACAGATAATACTGAGGGGGAAGAAGATTCTGGCTAAACTGGTGTCAAAGAGGCTGATGAACATTGAATATGACGTGTATAAACCCCACTTCAGTGTATCCTTTTGCTATGAGTATTTAATGTTATGTGTGTCAATGCGTGTATGAGTGCTTACATTTAGACGCAAGCAGCTCTATCTTTGCTGTGATCTAATAGGCACTGATACCTAGATAACAAATACTTTGGAAGGGAAAATGGAACGATTCATCACAATTACAGGTAATGTTGTTTTGCATAATTATGTTTAGACTCCACAGGTATGGTATCTGCTGAAGATTTTCCAACTACTGTTGTACATTCTTCTTGGATTATTGAATAGTCAACTTTTTCTTTGAGCTTGTGTGAAGAGTTTTAAGATAGTTATATGTAGACTGAAATGAACACTGATGCCTCTTTATGAACTACAAAAGCAGATAAGACCATCAGCATAAGGATTGACTATATCACTACATAGTTATTTTTGATTCCTTAAACCACTCTCATGGGGAAGGTGATTAACGGCATGATGCCAAAACAGCGTCTTTTAACTTTTCCCGACATTAATATTCTCAATGAGTGAAAGTGATAGTGACAGAACTAAATCAGCAAAGAGAGAAGAGATACCACTTTGTCCAAAGGGAGCTCAAACCAAACATAGTTCACGTTTCTTTCTATTTCCCCAGTGT